CCCCCCGCCTCGGGACCCGTTGCCTGGACCCGTGCTGCCGGCCTTTGGCAGGCGTCCGAGCGCTGCACAGCCGCTGGGGCTCAGCACAGACTGTAAGTGCTTGCCGGGGCCGTCTGCCCGCTTGCCCAGAGCCTGCTGCCTCTCTGCTCCACGGCCTCCGGAGGTTTTACTTGGCACCTGGGCCGCCTCCTGCAGCTGCTTGTTCCCCCTGCCCCTCCCCTCCCGCTTCGCTTTGCCAGCCCTGATTGCGGGGGAGCCTGCGTTGCTGGGTGCTGCTGGGAGCCGGGGCTGATGTCTGCATGGCCGGGGCCGTCTGCCCGCTTGCCCAGAGCCTGCTGCCTCTCTGCTCCACGGCCTCCGGAGGTTTTACTTGGCACCTGGGCCGCCTCCTGCAGCTGCTTGTTCCCCCTGCCCCTCCCCTCCCGCTTCGCTTTGCCAGCCCTGATTGCGGGGGAGCCTGCGTTGCTGGGTGCTGCTGGGAGCCGGGGCTGATGTCTGCATGGGTCTGTCTGTCGGTCTCTGTGTATCTGGGAAGTGCCCTGTACAAGGCTGGGTCTTAGACTCAGTCCCCAGGCTAGTGAACTGCCAGGCAGTTCTCAGAACTCGGGCTCGGCACGCCGGGTCCCTGCAGCGGGGCAGCCTGCCAGACACCCCCCTTTGCTAACCAGGTCCTGCTGAGCGTCTTACCTGGACCCCAGGCAAGAGGCCGGTTTCCGGGGCCGTCTCGCGCGGCGGCGAGTTCCTCGGATTCTTACTTTCCTTTCTCACCTGGATTCCTTTTCCTTTCGTTTCTCTCCTGCCTTCCCCCGTAACGCTGTTCTCTCTCTGCCAGACGGCTTTTCCCAGCCGCACCCACGAGGTCCCCTCGGCGCTGGGAGAATTCCTTAGCTGGCTCTCGCAGGGTGCCCTGGACTCAGCAGCTTCTCGGCCGTGCTCCTCCACACAGGTAACGTCACCTCTTGAGTCTCTGTCTGGAGCCTGGGTTGGCGGGGCCCCTGAAATAGCGCCCCCCAGGCTCCGGAACCTGGGCTTTCTGGCCCCCTGAAATAGCGCTCCCCCAGGCTCCGGAACCTGGGCTTTCTGGCCCCCTGAAATAGCGCTCCCCCAGGCTCCGGAACCTGGGCTTTCTGGCCCCCTGAAATAGCGCTCCCCCAGGCTCCGGAACCTGGGCTTTCTGGCCCCCTGAAATAGCGCTCCCCCAGGCTCCGGAACCTGGGCTTTCTGGCCCCCTGAAATAGCGCTCCCCCAGGCTCCGGAACCTGGGCTTTCTGGCCCCCTGAAATAGCGCTCCCCCAGGCTCCGGAACCTGGGCTTTCTGGCCCCCTGAAATAGCGCTCCCCCAGGCTCCGGAACCTGGGCTTTCTGGCCTCCTGAAATAGCGCTCCCCAGGCTCCGGGGCCCTGGTGCCGACAAGCATCAGAGCCATTGGGCCCGGGCTGGTTCCACACACACCAGCTCATGGTTATTGCTTTGCTCTCAGTTCTGGGCCCTGCAGTGAACCGCGGTGTCGGGCCGTCTGTGGTCTCTCCTCGGCGCGGCCGGGGTGCCAGCTTGGTGGGGGAGGGCTGTGGGTCATGGGCCAGCGTCTCTGTGCAGCTTCCTTGGCTCGGGGCGGGGGGCGTCATCTCATGGCCGGACCCTCGTGTCTCATCCCACCCTTTGTTGTCTTCACTTGATTTTAGTGTTGCTGGACGTCCGAGGAGCCCATGCCCAGAGCTGGGGGGAAGGGGCAGCCCGGAGAACGCCCCCTCCCTTTGCGCTTGCCAGCGGGCGGGTCAGAGACCGAGGGGAGCCCCCCTGCAGGCGTCTGGGCAAAGCCACGTGGACTGTGCAGCGCTGGGAGCTGATCTCCCCCGGACCTGGCCCATGCAGTGCGGCGCCGGGCTGCTCCCCAGAACTGCAGCACGGCACGGACGGGGGCCCGAGGGACGGCTTGCTGCCTGATCTGTCCCGCTCCCCGTGGCCTGCCTGGCGTCAGGGCCCGCCAGCTCTTCCCCAGACCCGGGACCCCGACCTCTGG